AGAGAGCCAGCACATCTCCTTGCCTGGCCCCTGGTCAATCTGTACATCAGGCCATTTAACACATCCACCCGAGGCCGCCAGCCTCTGCTGGACGTGGCTGAGAGAGCAGCTCAGACCACTTTCAGGAGTCAGCCAGACGTGCTAGGTCTCAGGACAAGGTCACAGTGTCCCACACTCTGGGAAGGCCACAAGGTCTCAAGCCAGGTGGTCCCCCTGCCCTTGGCACTGACATCTCACTGTCTTACGACAGCGTCCTCTCGCCCCCTTCTACTTTGTGTCTGCTGACCACAGAAAGGCCAACCTGCCACCCATCGGCCAGTCCTGGGCAGCCGGGTTCCCAGACTCCTTGCTCTTGGCCCCCTTCTGCCCCACACCAAGCCTTGGTGACCTGATGGGGTGGCTCTCGTTTCTCCTTCCACAGCTGCAGGATGGCTGAGCCGCCGAAGGCACTCAGAGGCACCACCACGGATGAGCGGGGACTTACTCGTGTTCCCATTGGAAAGACTGGAGTAATATTCGGCCGAGAACCCTTTCTTGGTGATGGAGAAGTCACTGACGAAGCGAATGGACATGAAGTTGGACGATGAGGTGAAGGAGCCCCTTGCCCCATCACAAACCCGGGCGAGCAGCGGGGAACTGTGGTGGGGGCCGTCATACACTTCAATGTAGTCGTAGTTACAGCTGCCTTCCAGCCTGCAGAGACGGAACGCACAGTCTGGCTTCACTTTCAACCAGGATTTGATGTCGGCACTCAAAGGTGTTATACCTCTAAGCCAGAAACTCCGACAAAATTAATAATCAAAAGGAATAGACTTTCTTTTTTTTACCGGAGTACGGTTGATGTACAATATTACACAAGTTACTGGTGTAAATATAGTGATTACAATGTTTAAAGGCTATACTCCATTTATACTTATTTAAAAAATATTGGCTATCCTCCCTGGGCTGTATTGACACCGTAGAGCCTTGTAGCTTGTTTTCTACATCATAGTTTGTACCTTTTCATCCCCTACCCCAAGAGTGCCCCTCCCCCAAACCCTCTCCCCACTGGTAACCACCAGTTCGTTAGACTTTCTTAAATCCAGTGGAGGTTCATCCTCCCATGACCTCCATACATCGGTCTTAGTCCTGCCTTTTGGGGTCATGTGTATGAAATCTACAGCTCCTCTCCTGACAGCCCTTCACATCACGTAAGAAAGAGTGACATCCCACCTTCAACTTTTTCTTTGATCAAAAAGACCCCAGTTTCCCATAGAATTTTTTTTTAATCCATGAATTCATAGCAACAGAAACAAATAATTGAACAAATAAATATTGGGCAAGTCAGATAAGCTCTCTGCAGCTCAGATTTTTTATTTGCAAAGGTGAAATCTCCCAGTGCAAGTATACTGAAGAGAGCTGTCATGAGGCTCTAACAGTATAATAGATGGAAAAATGCTTCATGAAAACGCCATAAATGGTGGTCATTGTTATTAAGATGCTGGCTCAGGACTAGTCATGGTCAACCTTCCCCTGTAGAATTTCATGAGCTTTAAGTACAATCCCCCAAATGAATTGTAATGATGAAGAGATTAAAATAACATCACATCTTTTGCAAAACCCGACATGAACTTCCAAGGCAAAACCTCCCAGGCCACTGCAACCAGAAATCAAGACAAAAAACTACTTTGTTTAGTGGTGACTATTAGAGAAAAAATGATGGCACCCCTTTCCTAGGACTCTACAAGCTACTGGTGTCTCAGTGTGGTCAGCCCGCCCCCTTGAGACGATCATATATTCCGGTGGTTCTGATGCTGTCTCCTCTGATTAAAACAAGGATCCCCACCTTCATCGGATGAGGAACAGATAACCTAAGATGTGCCACAAGAATTTTTCCTCTTCTGCCCGAAACCACTCCCCAGAGAAAGAGGGAGTAGAGAGAAACGAGTTCAGAAAAGCTAGTGTGGTTGTTAATAGGATTCTTTCTGTTATTACTACTTCTAACAATAATCCCTCCTGTTGGGTAACATTTCCCAAGTATTTTCATATATTTCTCGTGTGACTTTCCCAGGAACCAGGAGGGGAGGGAAGCGGGTATTATAGTCTCCTCTTTTGAGGCTCAGGAGAGTTAAACGATTTCCTGAGGTTACACAGCAAAGTGGTGACAGACCTGCAACTTGACCCAGGACTCTGGTCCTGGCGTCCCCTCCTTTGCTTCTACACTCGGTTGAAAATGGAACCCATAGAAGAAAAAGTGCAGTGGGGCAAACATCTCTCCTGAAGTGCCAGCTATCTCCTTCCAAAATGTCTGCAAGGGGCTGACCACACATCCCCTCCCACCATCGCACACACTTACTGGACATCTCTGAAGACCACAGTCACCCGGTAGTTGTTTTGAACTTCAATGTCCCACACACACTTGGCGTTGTTGGGATAGTTCCTGGGATAGAATGGGCTGGAAAATCTCCCTGAAAATTGGGTCAGGAAGCCTCCGCAGGAATAATTTGCTGCTGGGACAAAGGGAGAAATGCCGATGAGCCTCAGGGTCCACTGCACAGTCACGTGGGGGAATCCCACCGGGAGGTGCCTACACCTGGACTACCTACTGAGGGTCCCCGCGGTGCCCCTACAGGGAGGCCGTACTTAGGGAAGCCGCCTCCTCACTGTTCTCGTCCCTCCCCAGCGTCACCGTCATCGAGGCGAAGGGAAGGGGGACTGGTCGGGGGGCTCAGAACTTACTGGCTGGGCCGGTGTGGTTGTAAACAGGATCTGTTGACAAACAGAAAAGATAGTGATCAGTTTCCGGGCACCCTTGGTTCAGCTGCCGAGTGCTTGTCAGCTCTGCGCTGGAAATATGCCAACCCCAAGTTCCCAGCGAGATGCCAGCTGCGGGACTTGCCCTCTGGGAGCTCACAGCCTAAAGAAGAGGATGGAAAAGAGCAAATCCCAGCCTCCTGGGATGGGACTGTGATGGAGCAGAGCCCAGGAGTTGCTAGGAGCTGGAAGATTTGGCTCCTGGTCCAGACTGAGGAGGGAAAGGGGACGGGTACACAGGGAGGTGAGGCAAAAAGGTTGGAAGGGTGTTCCAGGCAGAGGGAACAGCATGTGTGAAGGAACCTAGGTATGAAAGTAGCTGGCACAATTAGGGAACCCCGATGTGGATGGAGCAGGGATGGGAAGGATGGCAGGAATCTACTCAACAATGGGAAAGAATTTGCAAGCCCTAGAGATTCTCCTGAGCACTGAGGATCTGTGTCCAGATGGTGCTGAGGATTCCAGCCCCGAGGCAGGGACCGACCTTGGCATTTGATGAAGATACCACAGCTTCCCTGCAGAGAATGGGTCAGGGGGAGGGGCAGCCTGAAGCTGCTGGTGCTTCTGTAGGAAAGCAGGTGGTGAGGAGGGGAGGCTGGGGATGCAGAGGAAACATCTGGGGTGGTGGGGGGCGGGGGCGGCAGTTTAACAGCCACTCTGAAGCAGGCTATTGGGAACTTTTGCTGATTACATACCAGGCTCCACCCAGGCTGCACTGACCTGGGACTAATGTCCCAGAGGAGGGGCAGGGCCTACACAGTGGGAGACTTCACCTAGACACTGACCAGAGATCCGAATCTTAGGATGACCAGCTGACTAAAGGAAAATAAGAGCCTGGAGAGAGGCCCAGCCCTCTTGGGGTTGGGACATCAGCTGCAGAGACGCCATGTGGCAGGAAAGTCAGGAGCGGAGACCTCACTGGAGACTGAGTGCCGGGACTGCAGCCCGGAGACCGGCAGCCAAGCCTAACCCTAACCCTAACCCTAACCCTAACTGGGGAGAGGAAACCCAAGGCCTGCGGGTCAGGTGGGAAAATGCTATACTTACTCTGAGTGGTTGTAGTTATTAGGGACTGCCAATCTAGAAAGAAAAGCAAGTGATTTTAGGATATTGCTGGATCATTTTTTAATTCCATACTCAAGAGTTTGATGGAGAAAATAAATCGTTCTCCTTACTCAGGACTTCTCAGAGACTTGATTATACCAATTTGCACTGTGTCTAGTAAAAAGCAGTTAGAGAACACAGCACATCCAAACATACTTGCACCAGATATTTTCCTTGTGTCATAAAGACCATTTGGGGAATTGCTCTCAACATGAAGGATTATTTAACAGATAAACCTCTGTAGGGCTGCTATTCGGTCATGGTTCTATGATGGTCACAATTCTGCATGGCATGAATGGGACACTTATTTTCATAGAAATGATCAGAGGACCTAATCCTCTCCCCTCCCACAGCCAACTGTATCAGCACAGACCCCAGGAAGTGACAGGGAACCAGAGGTCCCTCCAGGGAGACCGGAGTGACAGCCCAGGTCTTAGGGACTCAGCTGGTCACTGAACAGCCTCCAGAGTCCTCGGAGGGAAATGATTCCCCTGGAGGAGGCTGTTCTTCTATTGGAAACCTGAGAGGCGGAATACCAGAGAGGAATCTGGCTGAGTGGGGCTGCATGGACTCACGTGGAGTGGAGGAGTTGATCTGTGCATCTGCAAGAAAGAGGAAGCACGATCAGCCTCAGCACCAAGTTGTTATTGCTTAGAGGCTAACTCATCTCAGACACTTTAGGGGCCCCCTGGACTGTAGCCTGCCTGGCTCCTCTGAACATGGGATTCTCCAGGCAAGAATACTGGAGTGGGTTGCATTTCCTTCTCCAGGGAATATAGCAGACACAGGGATCAAACCAGTATCTTCTGCTTTTAGGTGAATTATTTACCCTCTGACCCATGAGGTAAGCCCATAAAGAAAATGGGAGAATAATGATAAGCTGGATACCAGCTGAGTGTTCAGCACAAGGACCAGAGATCAAGTGGCCTCTGCAAGGTCTCCTGGAGTGCACAGGTCAAGGGGAACTCTGACAAGCTCCTGCCCACCGCCACGCCCTGAACTAGCCACAGACACCATCAGTCACTGGCCTCCAGTTTCCACTGCTCCAGTTTCCAAAAGCCCCGAGGTGAAAGGAGCCTTCCACATATGACATCACCCAATACCTGAGCAAATGACTCCAGCATCTTCATAGTGGCCACAATTGTGGGAGAACCAGCCTCGGTTCCGGCACTGCCAGAGGTTAGCCTCTGCCCCTGAGCACGCCACGTCGTCCAAGGTGATAGGGCCAGAGCCAGAGCCAAAGTAGGCATTTCCTGGGGCTGAGACTGCAGATCCACAGCCCAGCTGTCTGCACACCACCTGGGCATCTTGAATGTCCCAGTTGTCATCACACACTGTTCCCCACTGGCCACCATGGTAGATTTCCACACGCCCAGCACATGTGGGACGGGAAGAGTTCCAATTCACCAATCTCAAGCTGACGTCTGAAAGACACACGCTGTAAGAGGTGATGACCCCATCCTCCAGCAAACACCCAAAGCCAATTAACCCCTGGTTCTTTCACCATCCCAAAAGCCACCCAATGACACTGATCAGTGAGTGAACAGCTACACGATCCACCTGGAAGGAGCTCCTGACATCACAGAGTTCAGATCCCTCATTCTCCAGATATATTCTTTTCCGTATCCACTTCCATATTCTTTCCACACGGTTTATCACAGGTCACAGAATAGAGCTCCCGGTTCTCTACAGTGGGACCTTGCTTATCCATTTGATACGTAGTAGTTTGCATCTGCTAATCCCCAAATCGGCATCCACCCAATCCCCAAACCCCGTCCTCTTGGTAACCACGGATCTTTTCTCTATGCCTTGTACTCACTTCTTGGAAAGGAGTTATACCAAGCAGAAAAACCAGTGTTTTGGACACTGCCGTCACTCCGAAATCGAACAGTCAATCGGTTGGAATGAGAAGTGAATATTTCCCTGGTGTAACGACAGATTCTCCTCACTGAGGCATTGCTGCTCAGTGGTCCATTAAGGATTTCAACATAGTCATAACTGCAGCTACTGTGTGTCTCCAACCTGTATGGAAAACGGGATTCATGTCAACAACAGAATGTCCGCTGCTCATAAACTTTGTAGATATTTTGGACTTTATGAGAAATGCCCTTGAATCTAAGATCTTCTTCTTGCTCTTCCTTAATCAGATCAAGGGACTGCCCAATATCGAGACTAATACTTCCTGGTGGGGATCAGAGAAACGTGAAATGTAGTCCATGGGACCTGAGAGGGGAAAGCCTCCCAGCCCAGGACCCCACTCAAACCACAGGGTGGTCCATGGAAGACGCCTCCTTCTCCAGGTGGCCTGGGGGTTACTTACTGCAGACTGTCGAAGCCCAGGTTTATGAGGTAGCCGGGGTTCACTTGTATTTCCCAGACACAGTTGGCATTGTTGGGGTAGTATCCAGGGTAGAATGGGCTGGAAAAGTTCCCACTGGCACTGAAGAAGAAGCCGCCACAACCTGGAAAGGAGCCTGCAGAGCGGAGAGAGAGGAACATCCCCGTTGTGGTGGGTCTCCGGGGGTGCTGGGACAAGAGATCGTCCTCCGGATGAGTGTCCTCAGGAAGTCCTTTTCCCCCTGCAGGACTTCTCAGAGGCTTGACCGTTCCCACCTACACGGAGACTGGCCTAAAGGACGGGCGTCCGCAGCAGCACGCCTTTCCATCTTGGGCACCAGGTGTTTTCAAGGTGCCGTAAAGATCATTTGGGGGTTATTCTCAACGTGCAGGAGTATTTAACAGATGAAGGTCTGTAAGGCTGCTTTTGAAAATGGTTTTGAGAATGGTCACTGTTCTGCATGGCAGCAGCGGGACACTTATTTTCACAGAAGTGATCAGAGGCCCCAATCCTCTCTCACACTGAACAGGCACAGGCAGCAGGATGTGGCAGGGGACCAGAGGTCTCTCCAGGGAGAGCTGAGTGACAGCCGTGGTCCTGGGGACTTGGCAGGTCACTGAACAGACTCGGGTCCTCAGAGAGATATGACTCCCCAGGTAGAGTCTGCTCTTCTCCTTCTGGAAACCTGAGAGGGTGGAATCCCAGAGACACACCTGGCTGGGTGGGGCTGCCGGGACTCACCTGGAGTGGAGAAGTTGATTCCTGGTCCTGCAAGAAAAGAGGAAGCATGATCAGCTTCAGCATCCACGATGGGCTGCAATGAACCCATCAGTTTCCTGAGAGAGATGCTGAGTGCCTGGCCCCTCCATGGCCAGAGAAGGGCAGCCTAGAAGTTGTACCGGGGAGCTGAATAGGAAACATCAATCTCACATATCATTCTTCACAAACAACAGCAAATATTGGGGCAATTTCACTCTTACAAACTTGACGTCCCCTCCTCTATGTGAGGGACTGACCTTGCCATTGGGTGAGAATGACCATCACTGAGAGAATGGATCGTGGGGGTGGGGCAGCCTGAAGCCGCTGCTGCTGTAGGGAGCCAGGTGGTGAGGAAGGAAGGATGGGGATGTGGAGGAAAGATGTGGAAGCGGGGTGGGGCAGTGAGGGGTGGTTCAGTGGCAACTCAGAAGCAGGCTGTTTGGAGCCTTTGCTGGTGACGCTGAAGCAGAGTCCATCCAGGCTGCACTGACCAGGGACTAGTGTCCTAGCGAGGGGTGAGACCTAACCTGGAGGTCAGCATCGTCAAGAGTCTGACCAGAGATCTGAATCTCACAGGTCAGAATAACTAAGGACAAAAAGAGCCTGTAAAGAGCTCCAGCCCCCCTGGGGTTAGGACATCAGCTGCGGGGACAGCGCGTGGCAGAAGTCAGGAGAGGTGACCTCGCTGAAGGATGAGCACCCTGACGGCCAGCAGCCAAGCCTGGGGAGAGGAAACCCAAGGCCTGCGAGTCAGGTGGGAAAATGTGTTACTTACTCTGAGTGGTTGTGGTTGTTGGGGGCCACCAGTCTAGAAAGAAAAGGAAGTGATTTTAGGATGTTGCTGAATAATTTTAAAGTCCATGGTCATCACTTTGGTGGAGAAAGTAAATCCTTGTCCTAACAAGGACGCCTCAGAACCTTGACTATTCCCACCTACAGTGTAACTGGCCACATGTGCTAAGTAGAGAGAAGTTCCCAGCTTATTCAGCAGCAGATATTAACACTGTGGCCTAAGGATCCTTTTGGGGATTGCTTTCAACCTGAAGGAATGGCTTAACGGATAGACATTCGTGAGGCTGTTACTAGGCCATGGTTCTAAAGTGGTTGGCATGACAGTTCTGCTTGCCATGACTAGGACACTTATTTTCATAGAAATGATCAGAGGACCTAATCCTCTCCACTCCACAGCAGCTCTGAACAGGCACAGGCATCAGGAGGCGGCAGGAGACCAGATGTCTCTCAAGGGAGAGCTTAGTGACAGCCCTGGTCCTGGAGATTCCACTGGTCACTGAACAGACTCGAGTCCTCAGAGAGAAATGACTCCCCAGGTAGAGTCTGCTCTTCTCCTTCTGGAAACCTGAGAGGGTGGATTCCCAGAGACAAACCTTGGCTGGGTGGGGCTGCCGGGACTCACCTGGAGTGGAGAAGTTGATTCCTGGTCCTGCAAGAAAAGAGGAAGCATGATCAGCTTCAGCATCCACGATGGGCTGCAATGAACCCATCAGTTTCCTGAGAGAGATGCTGAGTGCCCGGCCTCTTCGTGGCCAGAGAAGGGAGGCCTAGGAGTTGCACTAGGGAGCTGAATAGGAAACATCAATCTCACGTATCATTCTTCACAAACAGCAGCAAATATTTGGGCAATTTCACTCTTACAAACTTGATGTCCCCTCCTCAATGTGAGGGATTGACCTTGCCATTGGATGAAGAACACCATCATTAATAGAATGGATCATGGGGATGGACCAGCTTAAAGCAGCTGCTGCTGTAAGCAGCCCAGTGGTGAGGAGGGAAGGATGGTGATGCGGAGGAAAGATCTAGAAGCAGGGTGGGGTAGTGAGCAGTGGTTCATGGCAACCCAGAGGCAGGCTGTTGGGACCTTTTGCTGGGACTGGTGTCCCAGCCGAGGAGTTGGACCTAAACAGGTGGTCAGCATTATCTGGAGACTGACTAGACGTAGTAATCTCATCCTGATCAGACTAGTAAAAGACAAAGAAGAGCAGGAGAGAGGCCCAACCCTCCTGGGGTTGGGACATCAGCTGCGGGGACATCATGTGGCAGGACAGTCAGGAGAGGTGAACTCACTGGAGAGTGAGCACCTTGACTACAGACGGGTACCAGCAGCCAGGCCTGGGAAGAGGAAACCCAAGGCCTGTGGGTCAGGTGGAAATATGTGTTACTTACTCTGAGTGGTTGTGGTTGGTAGGGGCCACCAACCTAGAACGAAGAACAAGTGATTTTAGGGTACTGCTGAAAAACTTTAAAGTCCATGGTCATCATATTGGTGGAGAAAGGAAATCCTTGCCCTAATAAGGATGTCTCAGAACCTTGACTATTTCCACCTACAGTGTTACTGGCCACGTGGACTAAGCACATAGAAGTTCCCACCTGATTCAGGAGTAGATATTATACTGTGGGAAAAGATCATTTGGGAAAGTGCTTTCAACCTGAAGAAATTTTTTAATGGATAGATACTTGCGAGTTTGCTGCTTGGTTATGGTTGTAAAGTGGTCACAGTTCTGCATGGCATGACTAGGATACTTATTTTCATAGAAATGATCAGAGGATCTAATCCTGCTTCCCCTCATAGCAGCTCTGAGCAGATACTGGCAGCAGGAGGTGGCAGGGGACCAGAGGTCCCTCCAGGGACAGCTGAGTGACAGCCCTGGCCCTGGGGATTCCACTGGTCACTGGAGAGCCTCCAGAGTCCTCTGAGGGAAATGAGTCCCTAAGAAGAGGGTGTTCTTCTTCTAGAAACCCGAGAAGTGGAATCCCAGAGTGGAGTCTCAATGCGTGGGGCAGCCAGAACTCACCTGGAGTTGAGGAGTTGATCTGTGCAGCTGCAAGAAAGAGGAAGCATGATCAGCCTCAGCACCCAGGTTCAACGCAAGACACCCATCAGGTCCCTGAGAGAACTGCTGAGTGCCCATCCCTCCATGGCCTGAAAAGGGCAGCCCGGGATTTGTCCAGGAGAACTGAATATGAAACATCAAGCTCAGACATCAGTCTCCACAACTGAAAAAAATCTGAGGGGAATTTGCTCTTACAATCTGAAAACACCACCCTGCTCTAGGGGTCCAATACAGAAGAGGCTCAGTGGATCCATGAAATCCAGGACTGACATCTATCAATGATGGAGTCAGTGAAACCACCCAACTTCCATGGAAGCTCAGTGTGATTGAGCCCAGTGCAAAGAAGAGCTCTTGTTTGGGAGAAAATCACTCACAAAAATGCAGGTCATAGAAACCAACCTGAGCAGATGACGCTGGCGTCCTCGCTGTGTTGGCAGTTGTGTGTGTTCCAGGGGTTGTGGGAGCAGCTCCACAGGTAAGTCTCGTACCCTGAGCAGCCCACTTCGTCCAGGACAATGGGCCCTGAGCCCTGCCCGAACCGGGCACTTCCTGGGGCCGAAACGGCCCAGCCACATTCCAGCTGCCTGCAGACCACGTTGGCATCGTTGGTGTCCCAGCTGTCGTCACACACAGTGCCCCAGGAGCCTCCGTAGAGGACCTCCACCCGGCCCTGACACCTGTCACCTCCGTTCACAAGCCTCAGGGCCAAGCCCGATTCGGTTCCTAGAAGGAGATAGGAAAAGTCACCCTCTTATTTCTCCTGAAGGAAGAGGCACTGGCGACTGAGATTCAGACTCTTCCAGGGAAAGGCTGCTGAGGGCTAGGTAGTGACGTCCCTCAGGCTTGACTGAGCATGTTCATCACTGTGTATCTCCAGTGTCTGTGTGGTAGAAACCTTGGCTGTGGACTGTGGACAGGCTCTGCAGGTTCTCTGATATCTTCCCCAAATTCAGCAATTCAGGGACTGAATCCAATCTCAGGGTGCAGGTGGGAAGAGGGGAAGCCCACAGCCTGCATCCGCAAAATGCATGCCAGACCCCTGGAGAGAATGAGCCTCTGCAGCAGGAGACCACCGACACAGCTTCCCAGTTCCCACCAAGGAGCCAGGTTCAGCCATTCAGCCCTATGTGGGAATCCACTCCATCAGCTCAAGTTTATTCTGAAGACTTTTCCATTCAATACATATTCAGGTACTTTCACACACAAAGCTTATCTTGAAACCTTTTTTTTTTGTAAGCTTGAATCCTGAAATAACCTTGGAATTGGTGACTATCATTGGAGGACTTGGAGATGACTGGGGAGAGGGCCTCTATTACCAGCAGGCTGTTCACAATCCCACCAGGAATTTCTGCTCAACATCAAGAATCAAAGACTCTCGCCTCTGTGGCAGGAGACTTGTGGCTGACAAATGCCCCTGGCAGGAAGCAACCTGACAGTGAAGCTCATAAACAAAACCAAGCAGAGGTCAGAAAAGTGCATGGGGACAAAGAACATTGGGACTTCTGGATCCAGCAATCCCTGAAGGTTGCCCTATAGCTCAGTATCCTCAATATGTAAGCCGTGGCACCAGCCCCAATTAAGAGAGTGTGAGTGGCCATCCTAATACTTGCAGACAAAAGCGTTCTGAGTGACATATGGCACAACTCATAGGTAAAGTTATCCATAACTCTGGCAAGTGAAGGCAACCGTCCAGAGTAGATGAGGTGGAGAGCTCAGAACCTGGACCCAAGTGGCAAGAACTGCACCCATGTCTGTGGACTGGAGTGTTGCATGCTGGTAATTTAGCAGGATCTGAATGATGCTCACCATAGTCAGTTGTCGGATACCACCAATCTGGAGGGGAAACAAAGCAGGATTACAAAGAAGGTCAGTAGAATCAAGGTTGGTCTAATAACCTGTATCTGGGATCAGGACAGTGGGGTCTGAGAAGCTCCACGGTCTGGGGGACACAGAGGTCTTTTCTGAGAGTTTTCTGTGAGCCCAGATCATGTCATCAAAGGTACACACTCATCTGAGGAGGTGGCACAGCCCACAGAGCCATCACCATGCCCTGCTGACTGGGTACTTCTTGGTAATAGCATTGCCTAGACTCCATCTGGGGTTGAGGACAGGAAAAAGTTCTGTCCTCTTCATACACATAGCTCTTGGTCCAGAGAATTCACTCAAGCAGAAATGACCCCAGGACAGACCACCCTGTCACCCAAAGCTCTGGGGAGACACTATGTAGCCAGGAAGTCCTGAAATCACTGAGCCAGGCCAGAGGATGCCAGTGTTACGGCTCATCTGGAACCGTCTACATGCTCTAGAGTGACCAGGACAGGTCCTGAGAGGAGGAGCATCCCCACAGTCCCCTCCTGGGGCTACTGGTTGGGGGCCCTGGGGGTTGCTCAAGGGGAGGGAATATCCCGGAGTCGAGAGGCAGCAGGACTCACCTGGCACAGCCGTGGTCTGGGTCTGGGCAGCTGGGGGAGAGAGAAGGCAGGTCAGGCAAGGTGCACAGAGGGGCTCCACGGGGGCAAAGGGGGGATGCTGAGATGCAGAGCAGCTGAGGTGTCAGTCCGTGCACCTGCTCTGCCGTGGAGGGAGGGGCCTCTGCCATCCTCAACCCAGCAAAGAGGCTCCTCCTGAGAGGTCCCGGCAGACCAGCACCCCTTATTTCCAAAGTCAAGGTGATTGACTCTGTGTCTTGATGACACAGTGGATACAGAATCAATCGCCAGGCTCCCAGCTTTTATGGATCCACTGACGCAGTGAGACAGGGCTCCAGCTCCAGGTCAAGTCGAGTTTGTGATCGGTCAGGCTCGACCTTAGAGGATGACAAGGCAGGGTCTGGCAGGTCACACAGGGCCACTGCCCTGCTCAGAGCAGTCCTGGTGCGCAGACTGTGCTTCCCAGTTCCTTGGAGGGGGCACAGTCCAGGACTCAGGAGGCAGAACCGGGGCCACCGGCAGCCCCAGCCCATGACCTCTGCTCAGAGACCTCCCGGCAGACCTGCTCTCTTTTGCCTTGGTTTGCATGGAGCAGAAGGCATAATGTCACTTTCAGTTTGTGTTTCTGTTCTAATTGTCCATCTACATTCCCAAAGGCCAGAGAAAGCTACTATACTAAATATCAAAGCACTAGAGGATTTCAAGGAAAAGGGAAACGTAGAGAATTCTTCTCAAGGGGATCAGAAAGTAAGCAAGAAACCACACGCAGAGAAGCATCCCCAGCTTGTTTGAGACTCACCCGAGCAGATGACGCTGGCATCCTCGCTGTGTTGGCAGTTGTGTGTGTTCCAGGGGCTGTGGGAGCAGCTCCATAGGTAGGTCTCGTGCCCCGAGCAGCCCACGTCGTCCAGGACAATGGGCCCTGAGCCCTGCCCGAACCGGGCACTTCCTGGGGCTGAAACGGCCCAGCCACAGCCCAGCTGCCTGCAGACCACGTTGGCATCGTTGGTGTCCCAGCTGTCGTCACACACAGTGCCCCAGGAGCCTCCGTAGAGGACCTCCACCCGGCCCTGACACCTGTCACCTCCGTTCACCAGCCTCAGGGCCAAGCCCGATTCCGTTCCTGGAAGGAGATAGGAAAAGTCACCCTCCTGTTTCTCTTGAAGGAAAAGGTGCTTCGGACCTAGATTCAGATTTCTTCCAGTGAAAGACTGCTGAGGTCTAGGTTATTGATGTCCATAAGGACTTGACTGAGCGTGTTCATCACTGTTTATCTCCAGTGTCTGTGTGATAGAAACCTTGACTGTGGACTGTGGACTAGCTCTGTAGGTTCTCTGATGGCATACCCAAATTCAGCAATTCAGGGGCTGAATCTTGTCTCAGGATGCAGGTGGGAAGAGGGGAAGCCCACAGCCTACATCCCAGATCTCTGGAATAGAATGAGCCTCTGCAGCAGGAGACCACTGACACAGCTTCCCACTTCCCACTAAGGTGCCGAGTTCGGCCTTTCACCCCTACGTGGGAACCCACTCCTTCAGCACAAGGTTATTCTGGAGACTTATCCATTCATACGTATTCAGGTCACTTTCACACACAAAGCTTATCTTGTATCTTTTTTTTTTTAAGCTTGAATCTTGAAATAACCTTGGAATTGGTGACTATCATTGGAGGACTTGGAGACGACTGGGGAGAAGTCACCTATTACCAACTGGCTGTTCACAATCCTGCCAGGAATTTCTGCTCAACATCGAGAACCAAAGACTCTCGCCTCTGTGGCAGGAGACTTGCGGCTGACAAGTGCCCCTGGCAGGAAGAAACCTGACGGTGAAGCTCATAAACAAAACCAAGCAGAGGTCAGAAAAGTGCATGGGGACAAAGAACATTGGGACTTCTGGATCCAACGCTCCCTGAAGGTTGCCCTATAGCTCAGTATCCTCGATATGTAAGCCGTGGCACCAGCCCCAATTAAGAGAGTGTGAGTGGCCATCCTAATACTTGCAGACAAAAGCATTCTGAGTGACACAGGCCACAACTCATAGGTAAAGTTATCCATAACTCTGGCAAGTGAAGGCAACCGTCCAGAGTAGATGAGGTGAGCTCAGAACCTGGACCCAAGAGGAAGAACTGCACCCATGTCTGTGAACTGGAATGAATCCCCAGGCCTGTGGGTCAGGTGGAAAAATGTGTTACTTACTCAGAGTGGTTGTACTTGTTGCGGGCCGCCAATCTAGAAAGAAAACCAAGTGATTTTAGGATGCTGCTGAAAAATTTTAAATTCCATGGTCATCATTTTGGCGGAGAAAGTAAATCCTTGTCCTAATAAGGTCATCTCAGAACCTTGACTATTCCCACCTACAGTGTAACTGGCCATATGGAATCAGCACATAGAAGTTCCCATCTTATTCAGCATCAGATATTATCACTGTGGCTAAAGGATAATTTTGGGAATTGCTTTCAACATGAAGGAATTTTTTAACAGACAGACATTTGTTAGTCTGCTACTCGGTCATCCTTCCAACATGGTCATAGCTCTGCATGGCATGACTGGTACACTTATTTTCATAGAAATGATCAGAGGTCCTAATCCTGTCTCCCCTCACAGCAGCTCTGAACAGGCACAGGCAGCAGGAGGTGGCGGGGGACCAGAGGCCCCTCCAGGGACAGCTGAGTGACAGCCCTGGTCCTGGGGGTTCCACTGGTCACTGGACAGCGTTGGGGTCCTTTAATGGACCAGAACCTGGTGGTCCAGAGCCAACGATAGGAAAGTGAAAGAGGGAAAGAGGCTAATATTCCCTGGGTTACGCAGCCAGCCTTCGTGCTCCAGGGAATCAGCCAGAAATAGAGAGAGAGAGAGAGAGAGAAGGAAGGACATGGGGACCCAAGTCTCTGGTGGAACAAGGGTGCTTTATTGAATTTTGTGTGAGTATACATACCGTTTTACAAGGTAGCTTCTTCAGATAAAGATCAAAAGACCAGAAATTACAAGTTACCAAGGAAACAAGGAGCAATAGAAGCCACAGGCCATAAGGCAACCCATATCAAAAGAGGGTCATAGATAATCCCTTTCAGCATATGGAAAAGCTAATGAAGGAAATCCTATGCAAGCATCCCATCACTGAGATCTCAGTCCTGGGAGCGGCTTATCTGCCCCTCTTGCTCCTGACAGGAACTTATGAGAAACAGAGGGCTCAAGAGAGATAGGAAACAGCGCACAGGAATCCTACTGTTAAACATTCCCTGACAATTCCCCCTATTTTATTATATTTGTAAAAAAAAGGTCCCGACCATTTGAATTTATTTAGTTTTAACAATTTTTGCAGAAAGGCAATGGTAAACAACAAATATAATTGCCAAGACAATTGCCAGAGTTACAGTTCCAGACTCGATGCTGTGGGTGATGCTTTGAAACCATCTTTGTGGGTCTAACCCAGATAATTGATCAGGTAGTTGTTCAGATAAAATTTCCATATTGCTGGATAAGGGCAGACTTTTAGAGAAGGTTTCAAAGATTTCTTTTTGCAATAATTGTACATTCAGAGAGGCATTATCAAGTATATTTTGTAAATGAAATTTGATTTGCTCCCAGTTATAGGCACTGTGATTGAATTGAAAAGGAGTAACACAAAATTGAGTAGAATTCCAATCACATTTTGGTATCACTTCTTTTTGTACATCTATTAATTGATCTTCAACCCATTTGATGGCTGTTTTTAGTTCCTGTATGTCATTTTGAATATCCTCATCTATCTGAGCCTAAGTGGCCCACATAGTATGAGCATCTTTAGTCCAATCTTGGATAAAATTATGTGTTTAAATTGAGGTTTGTAAAGCAACGCCAGTGATGGCAGCAGTGGTGCAAATAGCTGTTAATCCCCAAATGCCAAGAATCAGCCATCCAATGAATCATTCAGATCATCGGAATAATTTAATAAGTAACTGGGAAGCAAGCCCGGCCATGGGACCTTCTTCCCAGGGCCATTGGAGATTTACTGGTAACCGCAAATTATGTCGAGATCGAAGAATCAAAACGGATTCATTTCTTAAGGAAATAGAAGAGTTAAGACAGGTATACAATTTGCAATTTACACAAGTTAGAGAATGTAAAGTCTTATTGAATTGTAAGTTTCCTATGGCTAAAACAAAAGGAAGGGGAATATAAGCTTGTATGAAATATGATTGTGTTTTTGATCTGTACTGCCGAATCTGCCTGTCCGTACATCATTAGAGGAGTTAATAGAAATACAGGGTAAAAGAAGTAATTGAGCAATTTTGTCCCCCCTTTTGAATTGCCATAAAATCATAGATGACATCACAATTTGAATTTCTCCTTTATAATCTGAATCAATTACTCCAGGGTGAACAGTAATTCCTTTAGAAATCAAACTGGAACAGCCAAGTAAAAGACCGAAGGTTTGTGGGGGCAGACTTTTGGAGGTTTTTTATTAGCTTTCTTAGGGCAATCCCTTTTTAAATGGTTCTTATCCCCGCATATAAAACATCCCTCATTTCCCTTTTTAAAGCAAGCAGCCATTGTTTCAGGTGGCATTTGCAGTTTTTGAGTTTCTGATCCTAGATTGCGACAAGCCTTCAAATAATCAATAATAGTCCCTGTCTCACGAATTGGGGCTATAGCCTTTTGACATTCCTGATTTGCATTTTCATAAGCAAGTTAATTTCTCTAATTGCCTTTATTTCTCTAATTGCCTTTTAGATTTTTCTCCGATTATAGTATGGGAAATAGCAGTTTCTAATCTAGCTAAAAAATCAGCATAAGTTTCATTAGGTCCTTGTAATATTTTAGTGTAGCTACCTGTAGCTTCCCCTTGAGGAGTAATTCTATCCCAAGCTTCAAGGGCCACTGTTTTTAATTGTTCATGCAACAAAGGAGGGCACTGTATTTGAGCTTCTATAGCATCAAATTGTCCGTGGCAGTTAACATTTCAAAAGTAATTTGATTTGGGGGAGCACCAGCTCGAGTGTTTTTGTTAGCATGATCTCTGGCTATATCTTAAAACCACATTGTCCATTGAAGATATTCTCCTGGTTTAAGGAGAGCTTTTATTAAAGTTCGCCAATCATAGGGAATAAAGGTTTCAATAGAAGACACCATAGCATTTAGAATTTCTCTAGTAAAAGGCGAATGTGGGCCATACATATTTACAGACTTTTTCATTTGTTGCATGTGAAAAAAGTTAATACCTTCATATTGAGGTATTATTTGCCCTTGAGAGTTAGCATTTCTTAAAATTGGGAAGGCAGAAAAACCATCGGCTTCAGAGACTTGTAATTGCAAAGCCAGGAATTCAGAGCCTCTGTCAAGAAGGAGAGTGAGTAGGTAGCAATTTTTTGCAAATATGAGTTTGTGCTAAGGACTTATCATTATTATCCAGAAAAGTATTGCCAGTTTTGGTGTCAAAAAGTATCTCCAGAGAGTCGTCAGAATCATTAGGTTCTAGCAAAGGAGAGACTTTTGGATTCACGCCTGTTGGCAGAGGAGGAGCATTTGGAGCAGCCGGATCAGGGCTTGCAGGAAAATTCTGAAATACTTAATGTTGTTCTAATTGGGTCTTTTGTAAAGTTTCATTATCTAATTCATATTCATGGAATAAGTGTTCTGTCTGTCGAATATCGGGAGGGCGAGAATTGCCTTGAAATGGCGGAATTACAGCTTTAATGAGAGCCCACAGGGGCCAGAAATAAATTGGAATATTTTTTCCCCGTCTGGCGGCTCGTTCAACATTGTCTTTGACCTAGTGCCAAATTTCTAAATCAAAACTGCCTTCATCAGGGAACCAGGGATTATGTTCAACTATTGTTTGAAGGCAAGCCTCTACTCAGCGCGAAACTGAAAGCCCCTGAATTTTAAATAAATGATGAAGTAAAGTAGAAAAGTGAGGGGGCTCTCCAGCCATTTGACCCATGGCCTTGTATTTACCGGCCTCAGTAGGCCCTGAGTCACTCCGTCCAAAGTGCCGCGTATACCAGGCCCCTGTTCTGGCCACCACTTGTTGGGGTCCTTTAATGGACCAGAACCTGGTGGTCCAGAGTTGACGATAAGAAAGTGAAAGAAGGAAAGAGGCTAATATTCCCTGGGTTACACAGCCAGCCTTCGCGCTCCAGGGAATCAGCCAGAAATAGAGAGAGAGAGAGAAGGAAGGACATGGGGACCCAAGTCTCTAGTGGAACAAGGGTTCTTTATTGAATTTTGTGTGAGTTTACATACCGTATTATAAGGTAGCTTCTTCAGATAAAGATCAAAAGACCAGAAATTACAAGTTACCAAGGAAACAAGGAGCAATAGAGGCCACAATGCCAAAAGGCAACCCATATCAAAAGAGGGTCATAGATAATCCCTTTCAGCAAATGGAAAAGCTAATGAAGGAAATCCTATGCAAGCATCCCATCACTGTGATCTCAGTCCTGGGAGTGGCTTATCTGCTCCTCTCCCTCCTGACAGGAACTGATGAGGAACAGAGAGCTCAAGAGAGATAGGAAACGGCGCACAGGAGTCTTACTGTTAAACATTCCCTGACAGACAGCCTCCAGAGTCCTCAGAGGGAAATGACTAGCCAGGTAGCTGCTGTTCTTCTCCTTCTGGAAAACTGAAGGGCGGAATCCCAGAGAGGGGTGTGGCTGGGTGGGACTGCAGGGACTCACCTGGAGAAGAGGAGGTGATCTGTGCAGCTGCAAGAAAGAGGAAGCATGGTTAGCCTGAGCACCCAGGTTGAAATGCAAAAAACCCATCAGGTTCCTGAGAGAGAGACGCTGAGTGCCCAGACCCTCCATCGCCTGAAAAAAACGGCCTGGGTATTGTCCAGGAGAAATGAATATGAAGCATCAAGGTCAGACATCAGTCTCCACAATTAAAAAAAGTCTGAGGGGAATTTGCTCTCCCAACTTATAATCACACCTCTGCTCTGGGGGTCCAATACAGAAGGGGCTGCAGTGGATCAATGAAATCCAGGACTGACATCTATCAATGATGGAGTCAGTGAAACCACCCAACTTCCATGGAAGCTCAGTGTGATTGAGCCCAGTGCAAAGAAGAGCTCTTGTTTGGGAGAAAATCAATCACAAAAATGCAGGTCATAGAAACCAACCTGAGCAGATGACGCTGGCGTCCTCGCTGTGTTGGCAGTTGTGTGTGTTCCAGGGGTTGTGGGAGCAGCTCCACAGGTAAGTCTCGTACCCTGAGCAGCCCACTTCGTCCAGGACAATGGGCCCTGAGCCCTGCCCGAACCGGGCACTTCCTGGGGCCGAAACGGCCCAGCCACAGCCCAGCTGCCTGCAGACCACGTTGGCATCGTTGGTGTCCCAGCTGTCGTCACACACAGTGCCCCAGGAGCCTCCGTAGAGGACCTCCACCCGGCCCTGACACCTGTCACCTCCGTTCACAAGCCTCAGGGCCAAGCCCGATTCGGTTCCTAGAAGGAGATAGGAAAAGTCACCCTCCTATTTCTCCTGAAGGAAGAGGCACTGGCGACTGAGATTCAGACTCTTCCAGGGAAAGGCTGCTGAGGGCTAGGTAGTGACGTCCCTCAGGCTTGACTGAGCATGTTCATCACTGTGTATCTCCAGTGTCTGTGTGGTAGAAACCTTGGCTGTGGACTGTGGACAGGCTCTGCAGGTTCTCTGATATCTTCCCCAAATTCAGCAATTCAGGGACTGAATCCAATCTCAGGGTGCAGGTGGGAAGAGGGGAAGCCCACAGCCTGCATCCGCAAAATGCATGCCAGACCCCTGGAGAGAATGAGCCTCTGCAGCAGGAGACCACCGACACAGCTTCCCAGTTCCCACCAAGGAGCCAGGTTCAGCCATTCAGCCCTATGTGGGAGCCCACTCCATCAGCCCAAGGTTATTCTGAAGACTTTTCCATTCAATACGTATTCAGATACTCTCATACAAAACGTGTAGCTTGATTTTTTTTTTTTTTGTAAGCTTGAATCCTGAAATAACCTTGGAATTGGTGACTATCATTGGAGGACTTGGAGATGACTGGGGAGAAGGCCCCTATTACCAGCAGGCTGTTTGCAACCACGCCAGGACTTTTGCTCAACATCAAGAATCAAAGACTCTTTCCTCTGTGGCAGGAGACTTGTGGCTGACAAATGCCCCTGGCAGGAAGCAACCTGACAGTGAAGCTCATAAACAAAACCAAACAGAGGTCAGAAAAGTGCATGGGGACAAAGAACATTGGGACTTCTGGATCCAGCAATCCCTGAAGTTTGCCCTATAGCTCAGTATCCTCAATATGTAAGCCGTGGCACCAGCCCCAATTAAGAGAGTGTGAGTGGCCATCCTAATACTTGCAGACAAAAGCGTTCTGAGTGACATATGGCACAACTCATAGGTAAAGTTATCCATAACTCTGGCAAGTGAAGGCAACCGTCCGGAGTAGATGAGGTGGAGAGCTCAGAACCTGGACCCAAGAGGCAAGAACTGCACCCATGTCTGTGGACTGGAGTGTTGCATGCTGGTAGTTGAGCAGGATCTGAATGATGCTCACCATAGTCAGTTGTCGGATACCACCAATCTGGAGGGGAAACAAAGCAGGATTACAAAGAAGGTCAGTAGAATCAAGGTTGGTCTAATAACCTGTATCTGGGATCAGGACAGTGGGGTCTGAGAAGCTCCACGGTCTGGGGGACACAGAGGTCTTTTCTGAGAGTTTTCTGTGAGCCCAGATCATGTCATCAAAGGTACACACTCATCTGAGGAGGTGGCACAGCCCACAGAGCCATCACCATGCCCTGCTGACTGGGTACTTCTTGGTAATAGCATTGCCTAGACTCCATCTGGGGTTGAGGACAGGAAAAAGTTCTGTCCTCTTCATAGACATAGCTCTTGGTCCAGAGAATTCACTCAAGCAGAAATGACCCCAGGACAGACCACCCTGTCACCCAAAGCTCTGGGGACATACTGTGCAGCCAGGAAGTCCTGAAATCACACAGCCAGTCCAGAGGATGCCAGTGTTATGGCTCATCTGGAACTGTCTTTGTGGTCCAGAGTGACCACGGCAGGTGCCGAGAGGTGGAGACCCCCCTCAGTCGCCTCCTGGGGCTGCTGGATGGGGGCCCTGGGGGTGATTGTGGGGGAGAGCACATCCTTGGGTAAAGAGGCATCAGGACTCACCTGGCACAGCCGTGGTCTGGGTCTGGGCAGCTGGGGGAGAGAGAAGGCAGGTCAGACAAGGTGCACAGAAGGGGCTCCACGGGGGCAAAGGGGGGATGCTGAGATGCAGAGCAGCTGAGGTGTCAGTCCGTGCACCTGCTCTGCCACGGAGGGCGGGGCCTCTGCCATCCTCAACCCTGCAAAGAGTCTCCTGCTGAGAGGTCCCGGCAGACCAGTACCCCTTATTTCCAAAGTCAAGGTGATTGACTCTGTCTTGATGACGCAGCAGATCCAGAATCAATCGCCAGGCTCCCAGCTTTTATGGATCCACTGACGCAGTGAGACAGGGCTCCAGCTCTAGGTCAAGCCCCGAGTGTGATTGGTCAGGCTCGACCTTAGGGGGTGACAAGGTGGTGCCCGGCAGGTCACACAGGGCCCACTGCCCTGCTCACACAGTCCTGGTGCCCAGACCAAGATTCCCAGCTCCTTGGAGGGGCCTCGGTCCAGGACTCAGGAGGCAGAACCGGGGCCACCGGCAGCCCCAGCCCATGACCTCTGCTCAGAGACCTCCTGGCAGACCTGCCCTCTTTTGCCTCTGGTTTGCACTGTGGCATGGAGCGACATGTCACTCTCCATTTGTTTCTCATTTTTTTCATTTCTCCGTATACATACCCAGGGGCCAGACTAAGCTAATATACTAAATAAGCAAAGCACTAGAGGATTTCAAGGGAAAGGGAATTGTAGAGAATGCTTCTCAGGGGATTCATAAAGGAAGCGAGAAGCCACACCCACAGAAGCCCAGCCAGCCTATTTGAGACTCACCCGAGCAGATGACGCTGGCGTCCTCGCTGTGTTGGCAGTTGTGTGTGTTCCAGGGGCTGTGGGAGCAGCTCCATAGGTACGTCTCGTGCCCCGAGCAGCCCACGTCGTCCAGGACAATGGGCCCTGAGCCCTGCCCGAACCGGGCACTTCCTGGGGCTGAAACGGCCCAGCCACAGCCCAGCTGCCTGCAGACCACGTTGGCGTCATTGGTGTCCCAGCCGTCATCACACACGGAGCCCCAGGAGCCTCCGTAGAGGACCTCCACCCGGCCCTGACACCTGTCACCTCCGTTCACCAGCCTCAGGGCCAAACCCGATTCGGTTCCTGGAAGGAGACAGGAAAAGTCACTCTCTTTGTCTCCTGAAGGAAGGAGTCCTGATGTCTAGGTGAGTTTTGGAAATCTTCCGAGGAAAGAGACTGAGTCTAGGTCTTGTTCCTTATCCAGAGCACTTGACTGAAGTCTGGCCATCAACGCTGACCCACCAGCGACGGTGTCAGAGAACCGCGGCTGTGTGCTGCGGTATGCGTATTCTCTGACTGGTTCCCCACAACAGCAGCAACTCTGGAGCAGAGCTCAGCCTTGGGATGCCAGATGGTGAGGGGTGCCCACGTCCTGCATCCCTAGTGAGCCCGGGGACGGACAGGAGCCTGTGCATCAGGGTACCTGCAGACACAGCTCCCAGCCCCCACCGATTGCCTCTTTATGCTGCTCACCCGACTCGGGTCTCTACCTCACTTGATGCGAGGTTGCTCTGAAGGTTTGCTTTCCACTGAACTCTTTCCATGTGGTTTTTAAACGCAAAACTTAGCCTGGATCTAAAATAAACCATGGACCCTCTCCCTATCACCAGAGTACATGGAGATGATGGGGGGAACGGCACCTATTGCCAGCAGGCTGCTCTCAGTCTCTCCAAGACTTGTCATCAGAAGGTCTAGACCAAAGGGACTCTTTCTTCCTGTTGGGATATAGACTTGGGGCTGAGCCCTGCCCTCATCACAGGAAGTAAAGTTAGAGTGAAGCCCAAACACATAAAAAAGCAGAAGTATAAAAAGTGGCTAAGACAGGTAGTCCTGGAACCTCTGGATCCAGCTGTACCTAAAGATAGAACTATGACTAAATGTCTTAGACATGGAAGTGACTGAGTCCTCGTCAAGCTTAAGTGAGTGTCCGTTGAAATCCTACCACTTTCGAGCTAAAACAGCCTATTTAATACATTCTCTAAAGGATAGGTGAAGGTTATCCACAGTTTTGATGAGTAGAGGAAATCTCCGACACTGAATGGGGTGGCGTACACAGAGCCTTCACCCAAGATTTAGACGTTGAGTGGAGCATGAACACTGATAGTTCAGTAGGATCCAAGTGATGCTTACCATAACTAGTTGTCGGATACCACCAATCTGGAGGGGAAACAAAGCAGGATTACAAAGAAGGTCGGTAGAATCAAGGTTGGTCTAGTGACCTGTAACTGGGTCAGGAGAAGCTCCATGGTCCAGGGAGAAGAGGCCTTTACTGACAGTTTGCTGTGAGCCCAGATCATGTTCAAAGGTACACACTCATCTGAGGAGGTGGCACAGCCCACAGAGCCATCACCATGCCCTGCTGACTGGGTACTTCTTCGTCATAGCATCGCCTAGACTCCATCTGGGGTGAAGGACAGGAAAATGCTCTGTCCTCTGGCATACTTAACTCTCAGTCCAGAGAATATGTTCAAGCAGAAATGACCCCAGGGCAGACCACCCTGTCACCCAAAGCTCTGGGGACATACTGTGCAGCCAGGAAGTCCTGAAATCACTGAGCCGGGCCAGAGGATGCCTGTGTTATGACTCATCTGGAACCATTTATGTGCTCTAGAGTGACCACGGCAGGTACTGAGAGGTGGAAATCCTCCTCAGTCCCCTCCTGGGGCTACTGGTTGGGGGCCCTGGGGGTTGCTCAAGGGGAGGGAATATCCCGGAGTCGAGAGGCAGCAGGACTCACCTGGCACAGCCGTGGTCTGGGTCTGGGCAGCTGGGGGAGAGAGAAGGCAGGTCAGGCAAGGTGCACAGAGGGGCTCCACGGGGGCAAAGGGGGGATGCTGAGATGCAGAGCAGCTGAGGTGTCAGTCCGTGCAATCACTCTGCCGTGGAGTGCGGGGCCTCTGCCATCCTCAACCCTGCAAAGAGTCTCCTGCTGAGAGGTCCCGGCAGACCAGCACCCCTTATTTCCAAAGTCAAGGTGATTGACTCTGTCTTGATGACGCGGCGGATCCAGAATCAATCGCCAGGCTCCCAGCTTTTATGGATCCACTGACGCAGTGAGACAGGGCTCCAGCTCTAGGTCAAGCCCCGAGTGTGATTGGTCAGGCTCGACCTTAGGGGGTGACAAGGTGGTGCCCGGCAGGTCACACAGGGCCCACTGCCCTGCTCACACAGTCCTGGTGCCCAGACCAAGATTCCCAGCTCCTTGGAGGGGCCTCGGTCCAGGACTCAGGAGGCAGAACCGGGGCCACCGGCAGCCCCAGCCCATGACCTCTGCTCAGAGACCTCCTGGCAGACCTGCCCTCTTTTGCCTCTGGTTTGCACTGTGGCATGGAGCGACATGTCACTCTCCATTTGTTTCTCATTTTTTTCATTTCTCCGTATACATACCCAGGGGCCAGACAAAAGCTAATATACTAAATAAGCAAAGCACTAGAGGATTTCAAGGGAAAGGGAATTGTAGAGAATGCTTCTCAGGGGATTCATAAAGGCAGATAGAAGCCACACCCACAGAAGCCCAGCCAGCCTATTTGAGACTCACCCGAGCAGATGACGCTGGCGTCCTCGCTGTGTTGGCAGTTGTGTGTGTTCCAGGGGCTGTGGGAGCAGCTCCATAGGTACGTCTCGTGCCCCGAGCAGCCCACGTCGTCCAGGACAATGGGCCCTGAGCCCTGCCCGAACCGGGCACTTCCTGGGGCTGAAACGGCCCAGCCACAGCCCAGCTGCCTGCAGACCACGTTGGCGTCGTTGGTGTCCCAGCCGTCATCACACACGGAGCCCCAGGAGCCTCCGTAGAGGACCTCCACCCGGCCCTGACACCTGTCACCTCCGTTCACCAGCCTCAGGGCCAAGCCCGATTGGATCCCTAGAGGGCAGCACAGGGAACCACTTCATGTTTCTCTTGAGGTCACAGGCCTAAGGCAGGTTCCAGATTTAGGGGACTTCTAATGGCTTTAGATCAAAGCAGTCCACCCTAAAGGAAATCAACCCTGAATATTGACTTAAAGGACCAATGCTGAAACTGAAACTCCAGTAGTTTGGCCACCTGATGGGAAGAGCTGCCTCATTGGAAAAGACCCTGATGCTGGGAAAGATTGAAGGCAGGAGGAGAAGGTGATGACAGAGGATGAGATGGTTGGATGGCATCACCGACTCAATGAACATGAGTTTGAGCAAGCTCCAGGAGATGGTGAAGGACAGGGAAGGCTTGCTTGCTGCAGCCCTTGGGGTTGCAAAGAGCCGGACACAACTAAGTGACGAAACAACAACAAATGGCCTCAGTTCCCTGGGCTGGGGGTCACCTTTGAATATGGCTTTGAGTTAACCTTCATCACAGGGGAATAAACAGCGATTTTCTTCCCCTGGCCCAGGCTGCCAAGACCTCAGGTACTCCTGTCTGTAACTCTCAGCTCCCCTACTGGAGGGGCCCCCAGGGTTGGTTACAGGACCTCTGCACCCCAGGCTAAAGGACCATGGTTCCTGTAGAGGGAACAAAAATCAATGAGGCCTCATATGGACTCAGGCAGAGCCCAGAGAAGCTGGCCCCCTCAACAGATTTCAACTGCCTCTCCAGGCCCTGTAGCCAGTGACCCTGAATCCTAGCCTGACACGAGGTCTGCATGCATTGGTGAAGATAACATGGTGGGCATGGAGCACGGGAAGCAGGACTCTCTTAGAGACAGAGAGCCAAGCTCCATCTTGGAGCTCCTTAGAGATGTCTCTGTGGGTTGATCCCTCCCCTATCTCAGAGTCAAGGTCCATGGAAGAGACACCCATTCAGTGAGGCCTTGTTCAGAGGCCCTCCCCCTTTGAGAGCTGAGCACCCCCATCCCTTATGCCTTCTGCACCTCTTCTGGACCAGATACAGACCTCTGGGTGCAGCAGGGGAGTGAGCCCACAAGAATCCCAAATAGCAAATGTTACCTTCTGTTGGGCCCACTGTTGAGAGTTCCTCCGTGGCAAATATAACTGCAGAGTGGAGAGAAGGAAAGGTCACTGGGTTGCGGCTCTCCTCCAGGGAGGACTGGCCCTCAAACTCGGCTCAGAAACGGGGCTGGAGGCAAAGATCCAGAAGCCCTGCCCACTGCCCCAAGGCTGTGTTCCTGCTGAAGCAGAAGGCAAATCTGTCCCTCTGCCAGCCTTCATTGGAGGCCACCAGGGACATTCTTGGTTCCTGCTACCAACTCCTGTGCTTCCACAATCTCCATTCAAAAAAATCACCCTCTCAATGACTGGCCCAAATCTATTCACAAGACTAAACTTGAAATGGGCTTCCCCGGTGGCTCAGCAGTAAAGAGTGTGCCTGCAATGCAGGAGACACAGGAGACCTGGGTTCGATCCCTGGGTCGCGAAGATTCCCTGAAGGAGGGCATGCGACCCACTCCAGTATTCTTGCCTGGAGGATCTCATGGAGAGAGGGGCCTAGCGGGCTATAGTCCTTGGGGTCGCAAAGAGCTGGACACAACTGAAGTAATCGAACATGCACACAAACTTCAAATACCAAGTGCCTGTTTCTATGGCACAAACATTCTCCGAGATGACATCTACTGTCACTGAGATATTCCCAAGGGTGGCCCCAACTGGGAGGAAAGATGTTCCCAAAGATCCATCTCCAAAGCCAAGATACCTACTGCAACATGACTGCTTGGACAGAAATGCTCTCTTGGGGGACACATTCTCAGGTGATGACTGGATTCCATGGCCACATCCCATGCTTAGTGACATGTATGTACACACAGCAGCCCACATAGTAAATGCCAGAAGTTGTTCTGAGTGTGTGCGCTCAGTCACGTCCGACTCTTTGCAACCCCATAGACTGTAGCCCACCAGGCTCCTCTATCCATGGACTCTTCCAGGCAAGAATGCTGGAGTGGGTCACCATTTCCTACTCCAGGGGAACTTCCCGACCTAGGGATCAAACCTGCGTCTCCTGAGTCTCCTGCATTAGCAGACAGATTCTTTACCACTGGGCCACCTGGGAAGCAGAAATAGCCAACTGGATTGCCTGTAGGCTTTTCCCAAGGTTCATTCTGGGTTTTTTCTTTGCCCCACCTGCTGCCTCCTTCTGGTCATTTCTGTGAATGGTCCCTGCAGAAATCCAGCTTCCACCTGTGCCTTCCTGGAGGTTAGTCACCAGAAACCTGTACCTCAAGTCACTCCCAGGCCATTCCTGGACCCTCAGGGCATGCTCTGAAAGGGCAGAGATTGGCCTCAACACAGCCAAGACCCAGTAGCAGGGTCAGCTGCCCTAAGTGAGCACATGAAAGATGCTAATGTACCAAAGTTGGCACAAAGGGTGTGTTTGCTCTCTGTGGAGAAGGAGGAGAGAGGATCCATTTAGAAAGAATCGTGGACAGAGCCAAAGAGAACTGTTCTGGGTTCAAATCCCTGCCCAGCCACTGGCCTACCACGTGACCTGAGACATAGAACTTGACAAGTTACCTAAAAATGCCCTGGTTCCCCCATCTGCACAAAGTTAATTATCCTACTCACCTCAAAGTGCTGTTAGGAAGATTTCATGACAGTAGCACTAACTATGTGCACTAGTTGAGCACTGTGCCAGCCAGTCTTTCAAATGTTTTTTAAAATATATATATATATATATATATATTAACTCATTCATTGTAAGAAAATAATTTTGTGCAGGGTACAAAGCAAGTCCTTGGGAGACATTAACTGTGTTAGATAGAACTGACATTCATGGCACGAAAGGGCACTGATTCTCCACTCCACCACCACCACCTCCTGACTCCAAGCTGAAGCTAATATCATGCAATGAATAACTGACAGGTAGAGAGAAGAAAGCTGAGCGCCAAAGAATTGATGCTTTTGAACCGTGGTGTTAGAGAAGACTCTTGAGAGTCCCTTGGACTGCAAGGAGATCCAACCTGTCCATCCTAAAGGAAATCAGTCCTGAATATTCATTGGAAGGACTGATGTTGAAGCTGAAACTACAATACTTTGACCACCTGATGTGAAGAACTGACTCATTTGAAAAGACCCTGATGCTGGGAAAGATTGAAGGCAGGAGGAGAAGGGGATGACAGAGGATGAGATGGTTGGATGGCATCACCAACTCAATGGGCATGAGTTTGAGTAAACTCTGGGAGTTGGTGATGGACAGGTAAGCCTGGCGTGCTGCAGTCCATGGGGTCACAAAGCGTCAGACACAACTGAGTGACTGATGAGAGAGACGAAAGGAGAAGAAGGACACAGGGGACTGGTTGGGTGTGTGTCTGGGATACACCAAGGGTCTTGACATCCCTGGACTCCTCCTGCTCCATCCTTGCATTCTAAAGGGCAGGCCCTTGTCCTGTGGCCAAGGCTGCACTCAACCTCAGTTCGCCGAATCCCTGGCCAACCCAGCCAGCGAGCAAAGCCCTGGGTAAGGCAAGTAAAGAAAAAATGTCTTACCATCGTTTATAGTCTGGAAATTCTCTTGATCTAGAAAGAAATACAGATTCATCTTAGTCTGTTCTGCTGTTTGTAAATGATGCACGGGCACAGCAAAGGTCTTGAGGGTCACCTTACAATCACGCCAGGGGGCGCTGTGATTCAGTCTTGGGCTTGTGAGCCTGCAGCATTCTTGCTAAAAGTGTTTGGGGTTTTGTAACAGAACTTCAAAACAAATGGGTCGGCTATGGGGCGTTCAGTAGTTTTAGATGTAATAAAGTACGTGTCTGTTTATCATGCCCCCTAACACTAGTTGAGAGTCCCATGCGATCTATGCTGAGAAATCACCCAGCTTGTTTCATTCTCCTGAGTACTGTCTTTTCTGCCGAGCAGACTGCATTGATCTCCAAGTCTGAGGCTTTTGGGGATGGTGAACCTTGTCTGAGCCCTCTCCATGGACTGAGCGGAAGATGTCCAGCCTGAGGGGATGGTAGAGGGGGACAGGATGGCACAAGATGAAGGCTGTGCCAGATTGCCCGTTGCTTGGTGTAACAACAATTCAAGACATGACCAAGGATTAGCATCCCAGAAATGTGCTCACGGATCCTTCTCCGGATTCGCCTCCATCATCTCCATGCAGATTTAGACAAGGACTTAGAAGGCAAGCAAGAACTGAGTGACAGCGGCCCTCCTGACTGCTCCTCACTCGTTTGCCCCCAAAGACGAACGGTGTTCTACCACTAATGGCAGGTGACACTTCTGAACTCCGTTGATCAGAAGTCCTTGTTTTTTTTCCCCTAGAGCTTCAGAAAATAAGCCAAAGTCACATAGTTTGGGAAACGAAACTTAGAGATAAGCCCCCATCAGGGCACTATAATGCTTAGACAAAATATTAGGGTGGGGGTGAGGGTAGGGTGACTAAGTCAGCCTCAGTCTATATCTGTTCCCTCAAGTTCCTGGCATCAGTGCCAGGAATAACAGAAAAATGTTCTTGCTTCCTCCTCTGTCTGGCTAACTTACACCAGCTCTATACCTCCATTTACCTGTGACTTCCACGGGGTGGCTCTCTCTGACAGCCTGAGCACATGCCCCTTGCCAAGGACATCTCTCCCCAGCACCCATCGCAGCTGTACTTATAACTGTGTGCTCAGAGATTACTGTCTATCTTTCTATAAAACCCTAAGTCGCTACAGGGGCCTGTCCTGTTTAGAAGGATCCTAGTAGGACTAGCTCTTGACAGATGAGGTGGCTCGAATGTTGAGCCCATTGTGAAAGATGTGTGAAAGTTCAATGTTAGCAACTCTCTTATGGAAAAGTCTTTACATCAACAAGCCAGACTTACGATGTAGCCAATAACCATATGGGAAAATGTTTAAAAGCTGCATTTACTTGACATTAAGCAAAACGTAGACATTAAGAAAAAATAAGTTTAAAAAGGTAGCACTTAAAATATATGCATAGATCTTCTGTCACTTGCTTTGGAAATTCTTAGTCAAATCTTATAAATACATTGCAAACATGAAAGCTTAATTCAGTCCTGGGCCATGTAGCATGCTTGCTCAAAATGGGCTCTGCAGACCATCTTTATTTTCGGTTACATAAAAATGCAGATTCCTAAGTCCCACCCCAAACCATCCAAATCCAAGTGTCTGGGGTAGGGAGATGAATTCTAAGGACCTGCATTCAACCAAATACCTTAGTTGATTCTGATATGCACTGAAGTTTGAGGCAAAGGCTAAATAAAATCAAGGAAAAAACTAACTCTATAACCACAGTCCATTTGTGCTATAGCTGAAAGAAGTTTCTATTGCCTTTGTATTTCCATAAAGGACACAAAACATATTATTACCCAATCCTCATACCATTCACTAAGGTCCAGGGAGGCAGTGTTTATTCTTCAGATATAAATAGCTATATAGAATGATAAACTTTAAACCAAATACAAGATACTGTTTTCAAAATACTTACCACGTGTTCTGGGAGGATCTGACTCAGAAACTATAAAAGAATAAAAGAAAAATCAGACATGTGCACATTTCACGCACAAGGACCCTAAGCAAGAAATCCACCTTTGAGCCATTGCTTTTCTTATAGTAGACTCTGAGTTCACTTTCTTATAGTGCAATGAGAGCTCTAGGCTTGCTTCCAAAATGCCTGCAGGGTGAAAGTCCACAAAGACTTGTTTTTTTTTTTAAAGGGAGTCTGCATTTGTGTCATCTCTTCTTCTTCCTTGCACATACCCAGGGAGGCCCATTTTTAAAAGCTTAATCATGGCGGATGATTTGAACATTCTCTAGCCTGGGGACCTGGGGTCATACTCCAGAGTTTTACATCATACTCAAGAATTTTACAAGTGTCGTCTCAGCTCATCCTTGTATAACCCCATAGGGAAGCTGGCTTGAGTAGGTGACCCAGATCAACTGACCAGTAAGTGACAGCCAGACCCGTACTCAGACTGTTGCTCTTAACCATTTCGCAGTTCTGCCTCCCAATGCACATAAATTTACCATTTGAATTATTTGGCTCAAATCATAGTCTGTGCTTTTGCACAAGCAGGTATGCTCATGCACACACAGGACTGCCATAAAAGAGGATTTAGGGAGCAGAAGCAGTTAGCATTTGAAGCACTGAGGCCAGGATATTCCTTATTTCCCCAAGACTTGTTAGCAGCTCTAGAGAAGAGGAATGTGATTCTCACCAGAGAGGCTCAGCTAGATCCTGCCACCCCCCACTGCCCCTGCCGCCCTGCTGTCTGTAACCACTGCTGGCCACCCCGTGGGGCAGCCTGGGGACCAGGGACCTTAGGAAAGGAGTGTGCCTGGACAGACACTGGCATGGAGCCTGGGGGCCTATCTCATGGTCAGTGTGGAACCTCACGAGGAAGGAGCTAAGGGTCTAGGTGGACCCCATCAGAGGAAACGCTTCCTGTCCCACATCTAAAACCCGGCAGAATTCTCTGTGGCAGTCCCGCCTGAGTCCTTGGGTGTGGCCTTGGGCACCACAATCGCCCAGCCCAGGAGTTCAGATAAACTTACCAGAGCTGAGTAATTCCCAGAAGGCAGTATCTGTGGTGTCTCTCGTTGTTGATGTTGCTGGAACAACAAAGAAAAACAGCCAAATGAGAGCTCTTCTGAAAACAAGTGTTAAAGCCAGACCCACCCTCCCTCCCATCAGCTAATTTGAGCAACAGAGAGAGTTGCATTGCTCTTTGCTTTGGAGGGTCGCTGGACCCATCGTTCATTAATTCATTGGTTCACTCAGGGAATATGGACCTGTCTCTGACCACACAAGGGGCAAAGAGCGGAGGGCTCCATCACTGAAGGTAAGATGTAGTCCTCTGGGGCTCAGAGGCCAATGGCAGCCAGACCTTGTCCATGTGCTCAGTCGCTCAGTCGTGTCCAATTCTTTGCGACCCCATGGACTGTAGCCCGCCAGGCTCCTTGGTCCATGGGATTTCCCAGACAATAATACTGGAGTGGGTTGCCATGCCCTCCTCCAGGGGATCTTCCCAACCCAGGGATTGAACCCGTGTCTCCTGCATCTCCTGCATAGGTAGGCAGGTTCTTTACCACCAAGTCACCTGGGGAGTCCCTGGCAGCCAGACTTGCTGACCAGTAATACTTCACTTGGCCAATGAGGAACACAGTGGAGGGGAAATGGAAATCTCAAAAGAAGCAATTCCTGGGCTTGGAAGAAGGGCAGGAGGAATCCAGAGAGGACAGGCTCTTTCAACAAGGCTTAGAAGAAGCCTTGAAAACAAGAAGGTGAAAAACAAGAAAAAACAAGGTGAAAGTTGTTGAGTTGCCAGATAAAACTCAGGATGCCCAGTAAAATTTGAATTTCAGATAAAGAATGAATTCTTCTTTAATGTAAATATGTTCAAAATATTACATGGAATATATGTACACTTAAAATGTATCTAAAATTTGAATTTAACTGGATATATTATATTTTTATTTACAATATCTGGCTACTCTCCAGTATTCTTGCCAGGGAAACCCCATGGGCAGAGGAGCCTGGCGGGCTACAGTCCACGGGAGATCCCAGCCAGACATAACTGAAGCGACTTAGCACTCACTAGATGGAAGGCATCCCAGCAGGAGCAGTAGGCAAGCAGTTGTCTTCACTGCCCTTTAGGTAACTAACCCCGGAGCCAGATCCACTGAGCTCTCCATCGTTTCTGTAAACCTACTAACTGCTAGCACTGGTGGGCTAATTTCTAGTACACTTGGCAACTTACATTCCAACCAAGCTGTGTGATCAGTGAATGACAGATATGAGTCCTGAATCTGTTTATGTTGATTTTGACATAAATCAAAATCAACTTGACACTTGACACTAAAATAAATATTAAGTAAATTGATCAAATATGGGTAAGAAAAGAAAGATGTTTTTCAAAAAATTAAGGCTGAGTGCTTTGGAAATAAAATTAAGGTGCTAAAAAGACATCAAGTGGGTTAGGCAGCAAAAAGGAGAAAGATATTTAAAGCAAGTGAATTTATACCCTCATTCATTTGTTCATTCAGCCACTCAATCATGTCCCGCACCTTTGCGACCCCATGGACTGTACCTCGCCAAGCTCCTGTGCCTGGGATTTCCCAGGCAAGAATACTGGAGTGGGTTGCCATTTCCTACTCCAGGGGATCTTCCTGAGCTGGGGATCGAACTCACATCTCCTATGTTGCCAGGCAGATTCTCTACCACTGAGCCACCTAGGAGGTTGCTTTGCAAAGGTCTTTCATTTCATACTCTACTTTAGAGAGACTAAAAGTTAAAAGTTATAGATATGCCAAATGGGAGCAGTTTATGCAAGAAAGGTGCTGCAGAACTCAGAAGACCTCTGCTGAGAAGTCTATAGCAACAAATTGGCAAATCAAAGTGTGTTTATATGTTTTAAGATAAAAGGAAACATTTTAAATGTGTACCTATCATATTTTATGATTTTAAGCAATATTTTTGAAAAAAAACAGCTGCCTGACCCAGTCACATTAGAAAAGGGTTCTTTTAGAACAATGGCTCTTAAAATAGTTCCATGAATATTCAGCACCAAGCAGCACCTGGGAATTTGTTGAAAAAAAAAAAAGCAAATTCTTAAGCCTCCTCCAGACTTATGAATTTACCCTGGAGGTGATATCCAGCAATATGTATCCATTCCAGGTGATTCTGATAAACATTAAAGTTTGAAAACCACTGTCGCAGGCCTGCAGCAAAAGTGTTTGGACAGAGTGGTAGGGAATAATTTATTCAACAATCTCGCTCCTGGCAGAAAGTGAAGAGGAACAATGGGCTCTTGATGAGGGTGAAAGAGAAGAGTAAAAAAGCTGGCTTGAAACTCAGCATTAAAAAAACTAAGATCAAGGCAGCCAGTCCCATCACTTCATGGCAAATAGAAGGGGCAAAAGTGGAAGCAGTGACAGATCTTATTTTCTTGGGCTCCAAAATCACTGCAGATGGTAACTGCAGCCATGAAATTGAAAGACGTTTGCTTCTTGGAAGGAGAGGCAAACCTAGATAGCGGGTTAAAAAGCAGAGACATCACTTTGCCGACAAAGGTCCGTAGAGTCAAAGTTATGGTTTTTCCAATAGTTGTGTACAGATGTGAGAGTTGGACCATACAGAAGACTGAACGCTGAAGAACTGATGCTTTTGAATTGTGGTGCTGGAGAAGACTCCTGAGAATCCCTTGGACTCCAAAGAGATCAAACCAGTCCATCCTAAAGGAGATCAGCCCTGAATATTCATTTGAAGAACTGATGCTCCAATATTTTGGTCAGCTGATACAAAGAGCTGACTATTGGAAAAGACCCTGATGCTGGGAAAGATTGAAGGCAGGAGGAGAAGGGGACGACAGAGGATTGAGATGGTTAGATAGCATCCCTGATTCAGTGGACATGAATTTGAGCAAACTCTGGGAGATGGTGAAAGACTGAGGGGCCTGGCATGCTGGCATCCAAGGGGAGGCAAAGAGTTGGACATAACTTAGCGACTAAAAAACAGCAGCTGGGTGCCTGACTCCAGCAGGCAGGGGGAATGCTGAGATGACAGACACAGTGCTGCCTCTGGAAACTGGCTCTAGTGGACGAAGCTTAGAGACAAATAGTTAGAGGACAGGGAACTGAGAGCTCCGATTGTGGGATGTTGGGAGTCCAGAAGAAGACCTCCCAGAGTAGAACCAGGATTTCTGAGCAGATGTGCACCAGGCAAGGGGAAGATGGGCTCCAAGGAAGTAAAACACTATGAATAAACTTCCCTTGAGAAGCAACCCCATAAGAATAAAGCTATCAACTCTGTGTAAAGCTTCTTGGCTGTCTCCTCAGATGAAGAGATGAATCGGGGTTCCAGATGGAAGGACTGAATATAGGACTATCAGTCATTTTAAACTAATTCATAGGTTTGATATCATTTCCATCAAAAAGTTTTTCTTGGATTGGTCTTTAAAAATTAATCTTGAAGTTTATCAAGAAAAATAAATAGGCTAGAAATGACTGATAAGTTCTTGAAAAAAAAAATACTGATGGGGAGGGGGAAGGGACAATGTGGGTTTGGGACTGGGGGTCATGCCCACCGAACCTGGGAGACAGGTGCCTTGAGTTCAAATTCTAGCTCTGCTGTTTATTTGGTCTCTAAACTTGGGCAAGTCATTTATTCTCACTCAGTCCTAGTTTCTTCATCTATAAAAAGATAGTTATACTAACCTACTTCACAAGGTTATTGTGAAGACAAAGTTAGAAAAATATATCAGGTGCTTAATTAATATAGTGTTTGTCATGTTGTCAGCATTCAAAAACTTATGATTAGCTCCAAAATATTCAAAATAAGGTTATAAAAATTAAAGCAAAGTTTAAAATTTAAATTATTTTAGAATCAATTTAGATATTTACTTCACACCTGGAGGAAAAATAATTTTCAGAACCAAAAAACAGGATTTTATTAAACAAATGAAAACAGGAAACTAATTAAATGTTTATTTGATTTTTGTGAAATTTCTAGATTTTAAATCAACAGGAAATTACAAAGAAAAATAGCAATAAATTTAATTATGTAAAAATATTTGTGCAGAACAAAATCAAAATTTAAAGGCAAATAACAAATTGGGAAAATATTTTTCATCAATATAATGGACAAAGTGGAGAGAGTTTGTTCAACATAATGGACAGAGAGAGTTTCTATAAACCAACAAAGGTAATACTAACTTTCACATACACAAAAATATAGAGGATAAAAACAGACAGTTCAAGTAAAGGAATTTAAATGGCTTAAAAATTTTCACCATGACTATAAAGCAAAGAAATGCAAATTAAAATAACTGTAAATCAATTTTTATCCAACAATTCAGCCAAGAGTTTTGAATGGTAGTATTCAGATTCAGCAAAGTTGTAGAAGATTGCATTTTCCTTTTTTACTATTGGAGAAAGAATTGGTAGATTGCTAGAAAATAATGTACCAGTATGCTTTAAAAATCTTAAAATGGTCAACTCTTTGACTCAGTAATTCCATGTCTAAGAATCTAGCCAAAGGAAATTATAATTTACTTAATGTGGACAAAGATGCATGAATAAACATGATCTTCACAGTATTATTTATTATAATTACAGAAAGAATCTGAAAAGGGGTGGCAGAAATAGGGAGAGGTTGGTAAAAGGGTACAAACTTTCAGCCAGATGATAAATAAGATCTTAGGATCTAATGTAAAACATGGGGACTATAGTTGATAAAACTGCATCTATTATACAACTGAAATTTGCTAAGGGAGTAGAACTTAAATGTTCTCACCAAAATAAAAATAGATATGTGAGGTGATGGATATGTTCTTAACTAGATGAGAGGAGAATCTTTCCACCATGCATATGCATATCAAATCACCACAAGGTGCTCTTTAAATATCTTGTAAATTTCTTGGCCAATCATACCTCAATAAAGCAGAAATTTTTAAAAAAGAATAAAACTTGAAAAAAAACTTCAATTTCCCAAAATCATGAATGCATGTTAAAATGTTCAGAATATAAACTATAGAAAAACTGTATGTTAAATGCTATCCTTTAGGGACTTCCCTGGGTGTCAAGTGGTTAAGACTCTGAACTGCAGGGGACAT